GAGTGGCACTATAGGCATGGGAGATATAACTGATCACAGGTTATGCTTCTGTGAATTGAAGATTGAAATTCCAGAAGACACTCCTACAACATTTTATTGTCGTGACTTTTCCATGATATAAATAATCTACAAAGTCCTCCATCTTACTGAGAACATTACCTTGCTGTATGACATACATGCTCCAATGAAAAAAATTACACCTCATAAGTTCTACAGGCCGTACGTCACCTATACAATAAAATGTATGATAAATTTAAAACGAAAAGCTTACAATAAATTTAAAAGAACTAGATCTGAAACAGATCGATTGTTTTATAACGATCTTAGAAATTACTCAGGTGTGGATTTAAGGAATGAAAAACAGCTTGTATAAAATATCAACTAAATAAGAACAGGAATAATCCCAAGCAACTATGGAAGGACTTCGCTAAATGGAATATTCATCAAAAATCCACTAATCAGATATCTCAGGGCATTGAAGACGCAGAAGCCATCAACAATCACTTTGTGAACTCGTTGCCAACCATTCAACCTGATGAGTTATTTCTTAACACTTTATCTGGGCAGAAAAAGTCACTCGTAATTAAAAGTTCGTTCCATCTAGTTACATCTGATGATATTGAAAAGAAACTGAGAGAAGTAAAATCAAATGCTGCTGGTATAGATGGTATTACTACAAGCATGTTGAAAAATGTATTTTCTTTTTGCAAAAGTGAAATAACGGATATCATAAATCAATCCCTGAACACAGGAGAAGTACCAAGATTATGGAAGAAATCAGTTGTAACGCCACTAGCAAAAGTCAATAACGCTATGCAGATGAAGGATTTGAGATGTGATGTCCAAGCGTGCAGAGAAAGTGGTAGCTGACCAACTTCGTGACCATCTAGAAAAAATGAAGTGCTTCCCGATACACAGTCGGGATTCAGAAAACTACACAACACATCCACAGCGCTTATAAAAGTAACTAGCGATACAGTCAAGTTCATGGATGATGGTATGGTGACCGTATTGGTGATGTTAGATTACAGTAAGGCATTTGACATGTTCAACCATGAAGTATTATGTAAAAAACTACAATATTATGGTTTGTCTAGTAATGCCTTACTGTGGTTCAACAACTACCTGACTGGCAGATCCCAATGCTCAAAAATATTTAACAAAATGTCCACTTTACAAAATGTAGTTTCTGGTGTTCCGCAAGGAAGTGTATTAGGTCCATTACTATTTGTATTAGATTGGAATATACATCTATATGCAGATGATGTACAAATGTATAAAGCTTGCAAGCCAAATGAAGTTAATTTATTGATTAAAGAGTTAAATATAAATCTAGAAATGATTGCAAACTATTCCAAAAATTATTGTTTGAAACCGAATCCCACAAAAACTAAAGCTTGCTGCATTGGTTCTAGGTTAAATATTTCAAAATTTAAAGGATTGATGAGTACAGCCATTGTTTTAGGTGATACATCTGTTGAAATTGTAGAGGAGACTAAGAATTTAGGCATTTTGTTGGACACAAATTTAAGTTTTGAGAACCATGTCATTAATAAACTTCCTTTATGCTATTCTGAATATAAGTCACTTTGGAGATACAAACATGTTTTAACCAGCGATATAAAATTAAGGCTTACCAATGCACTAATCCTCACTCACCTAGACTATGGCGCTACAGTATATTATAATTTTCTGACGGAAGAAATGAAGCACAAAATTCCAGTGTTACAAAACTGCTGCATGAGATTCTGTTTCAAGAACATATTACTGGATATTATGTGAGAGAAAATCTTTTAAAATATAAGTATCGTGTATTACTTCAGCATGGAACTCTACTATATAAAGTTTTAAAATATAAATTACCCAGATATCTATTTATTGCTTTGGAGAAGAGATGTTCACTCCGCCAAGTTTCCTTACACAACAATGAATACCTCAATATTCCAGTTCATACAACATCTAAATTCAAAAGATGTTTTACTTACACGGCACCATATCTACTAAACGATCATTTAGAACTTTTTGAAGCACCTTCCATCCAAAACTTCAGAAATGAGATGGAAAAAGTGCTACTACAGCTGCAAAGATTTGAATCCACAAATTAAATTTATGGCGCTTGCTACACTACCCTCCATTAACACTAACACTATATCGTATTATATACTGTGTTGTGCATAATATTTGTTGTGAATGCTAATCATTCTGTTGATGTTAAAAAAACGCTCATGAAGTTAACTTTTTAGGGGGAGGTGAAAAATGGCCTGCCAATCCTCTTTCCTTTTGGAATGTTGTCGTTTTTATACTTTTATGTATAAACATTCCAATAAAAATTAGTATTATTATTATTATTATTATTATTAAATACCCCAAGACACAATAGCTGGTTTAATTGAGTCTATGCCTCAGATGCTGAGAGCTGTTATTCAAATACAGGGAGGAAATACTCGTTTTTGATAACAATTTCTAATTACCAATGATGTCACTGTAATTTTTCAAGTTTAACTGCTTATGGTTATGATTCGCATAGTCTTCTTACCAATGCTGTCTCTGTAATTTTTTAAATTAAATTTTTTGTGGCTATGATTCAGCATATATTCTTCAATAATTGAGATATTGGCATGAATCAAATTAAGAACTGTTGAGAAAAGTTGAGGCTTAAAATTCTCATACGAAGACACATTATTTAGTAATCCAATGTTTCCACAAGGTGTTCAGAAATTTAGGGAAAAATGCACCTTTTAGTTACATCCTGTATAACAACAAACATTTTCAATTTTTTTGCAAGATTGACAGTCCATAATGATGACAATGAAATTACCTACAACTAGACGAAAAAAATTAACGAAATTGATGTTAAGGTTAAAAAGTTATTTAAAATTCAATTTGAACAAAATTCTGTTTGTCCGGTTAATTTTGCGTGGCAGTGTAGTATATAGGTACGTATCAAGATATATTGTAATCAGTTATCAAACATTGGTGACAAACAGTTTTATACCAGATATCCAAAGAAATAAGGCTACCAGGTACAGACATGCTCATTGCTACAATTCAGAGCAAGGCTGGTAATTTGGTATGATGTCTGTAGTTTTTTGATACAAAAAAATATTTCGTTATAGTAGATAGCCTCAAATATATGCAAAAACTGATTTCTGAGTAAAAGGGCCGGCTCACTTTTGTCGGCCTGTATCATCTAAAGCAATTTGCTGTATGATTTCACTTAGCGTAAGCTATTCTTAGGCTTAACAATTATCGCTTTTAATTAAAGAAGCCTCTGAAGTCATTATATGTTTTATTCTACTTGATCCTATATTCTGTACAAGTAAAAGCTGTGTTTATTTAACACCGGCATACACCCAATTTAGCTTCACCGGTTATATCCCTTTTCACCTTTCAACTACGAGCTTCCATTCATCACAAACGTAATAATCAACCAAATTAATTAGCCTTTTCATATCCACTAATTTATTTTGCATTCAGTCTTTTACGTTTTGAATCATGTACTTGGATTTATTCTCAGAGGTTAAGGGTGAATACAGTTGACTGAAAATGACTGAAACCTCTCAAGATGGTAATACCTTTATTAACCTTATATAGAACGAAAGCTAGAAATTAGATGCGGGTTGATTTGGGAAATGTGATTTAAAAAAATAAAAACTGTGGTAACAAAAGTGCTATGTGCGTCAAATACGAACAAAGTAAGAAAAAGGCATTTAGCAAAAAAAAACGTACTCTAACGCCGGGAATACACTTGAGCCGAGGCAAGCCGCGCACCGAACGGGGCAGCCTCGCCGCGCCGTGATGTGATTTGTCGAGAAACGAAATGCGATACACCGAAACAAAGTGTTGCGGCGAGCCACGACATGCTCACAGCTGATCCAAGCTTGATTAATTTCACTGAATTTGCACGCTAGTACTGAGAGAATTGAAATAAAAATCAGATTAATAATTTATCTTTTAGATCGGAGTGGAGCAATGAAAAATACCTAGATTTAAGTACAGAAGTTAGTGCCACAATTTGTAAATAACCAAAAATAGACTCTATATTCGCTCTGAGGTAAATGCTGATCGAAAATTCCGTACACACTGCGCACGAACGAGGCTCGGCCGGTGCTCACTTTGATGCAGAGTTCCCCAAACTTTTTGTGTCGTAGACCCCTTGCCATGTTTTTCCGTGTTGGGTAGACCCCTTACTTACCTGATATTGATTTCCTGTAAATTTCGAACTGTAGTGAAGTTTAGTGTTAAAAACTTAAAGTAAAAACACATGTTAATTTATACATTTATTAATTGAATTTAAATTAAAACTACTCAAAATAAAATTTTGTATCTGTTATGTAAAATATACGTAACATTAAATAAACAGGTGTCTGACCAATAAGTGCCCGCATTGGGAATAAGTGCCCGCATTGAAAAAAAAATAAGAGGGATAAAATAAAAAAAAAGTGAAAAATAACAAAAAAAAGTTCTTTACTTAAAATAGTACAATAAGCGAGTTCGTTTATTGATTATAACATGAACATATGTTCTACAATAATTTCACTGTTAGTTTGATTAAATTCCGCATTTTATACGTTTAAGTTATCTAAAAATAGGCAAAAAATTCACAAATTTTAGTGTGTACCTATCCTTGAATTTTCAGAATAATTTAAAAAAAAATATTTTCTATAAAGGGGGGTTCTTTAAAAAAATCAATACGGGCACTTATTCCCAATGCGGGCATTTATTGGTCAGACACCAATAAACATAAAATAAACTATAAATAAAATAACATAAGCAATAAATCGATATTTTTAGTGAGAAGGATGAACCTGATGCTTTAATAATAAATTATCAACATTTGGCGTCAATTTTGTAAGGGTTAATCTTAAATCTCCTCGGCTAATGATGTCCAGTCTGTTTCTTTTTTTCGTTAGGAGATTGGTAACAGCGCTGAACCCCCTTTCCACTAGGTATGACGATGGAAAGGAAATTAAAAATTTCCTCGCTATATTCCATAATACGGGATAAGTAACGGGTATGTTGTTTTGCAGCCAGAATTGCTGATATCCGTTTTTAAACTGATCCTTAAGTTCTTCGTTTGTACTTAGTTCAGTCAGTTCCTCTTGTATTATGACATTCGTTTCTTCTATGTCACCATATGGATTAATTGTCCACGGTGGTATTACCATAGTCAAAATATCCTCAAACCTAGATTCAAAATCTGAATAGAGGGCATTTAAATGTTGAACGTAAGTTGAAACGTCGTCTTCCTGGCAGCTTGTCTGTGACAAATTGGGGAACTGAGAAAATTCGCCCCGTCCAATATTTTGCTTCATTAGTTTAACTATGGCAAGAAACGCTGATAAGATGGACTTTGTTTTAATCAAATTTAAACTGTCGCCTTGTAATTGCAAATTAACCATATTAAATTTTGTAAACAAATCTGTTAAATAGGCCATGTCTGTTTTCCTCTTCATTAAATTGTCTTTTAAAATTTTATCTTTAGTATCCAGAAATTCTAAAATAGTCTCAAAAAGTGCAAAAAATCTTGTCAAACATAAGCCTTTCGTCAGCCAGCGTACTTCAGTGTGAAGGAGTAATTGATGAAAGTATTCAACGCGTTGCTTCGGATTCGGTTTGAATGAATGAATGAGACTTAAAATTAGAGGCATCCCGGCCGCATAAGCGCACCTCTACAATCCTTAAATCACAAGCGTCGCCCTTTTAGCGAAGTTGAGAATCGCCTTGAGTCCAAGCTCCTTGACACTGGGCCCTTCAATGAGCTCTCGTGCCTGGCGGAGATGTCTAGAGATACTTCTCCATTTCTGAGAGTGTTGTCTTGCAACCCACGTCTCCATTTTCCTCCTAGCTTCATGCGCGGTCACTCCTAGAGCTGGCTCAGGACCAACGAGCTTGCTGGCTGATCCTGTTTTCGCCAGAGTGTCCTCCGTCTCATTGCCCCTTATCCCAGCGTGCCCCGGTACCCATATTAATGATACCGGATGCCTCGCTGCGAGGCAATCCAGAGCCTCCCTGCATTGCAATACAAGACTCGAAGTAATCTTACAGGCACTTAGTGCTTTCATTGCAGCCTGGCTGTCGGATAAGATTGAATCGCAAAGATTTCCGCCTGGAAAATGGTGGTGTATCCACCGAGAGGCAGAGATAGCCTAGTTCTAGGCCCTGAGACCCCAGCACCTGAGCCCTTTTCGGTGACCGAGCCGTCCGTGTACCAGACCTGCCCGCTCACTTCGGAGAGTCCCCGGCTGCCGGCGTCCCACTCCTCCCTCGTTGGATACTCCACAATAAACTTGCGGTTGAAGCGATATTTAGGGGTAATACGATCACCTCTGCTTAGAAGGACGGGGTCCTCCTTTTCTAATTCGACTAAGATGGCAGTATGCCCCTTGACAGGATTCAAGAAAGCCCAGCTGCCCAAAGTGATTCATGCAATCTAACACTCAAATTTTTAGCAACTAAATGTTGTCGATGGATGACGCAATGTATTGCTAACACCCCTGACACATTTTGTTCTAAATAGCTTATAAATCCACGATAACGTCCAACCATGGCAGGTGCTCCATCTGTAGCTACTGATATTATATTTGATAAAGGAATTGCTTTTTCAATGAAGTAATCCTTCAAAACATGAAATATTGATTCACCTTTAGTGTCGGTTATCAAAGTTCTTGCGAAGAGCAGTTCTTCGTAGATTTCTTGATTCATAATAAAACGAACATATGCCAATAATAATGCTGCATTATCAGGTAAAGTTGACTCGTCCAGTTGTATAGAGAAATGGGTCGTTTGCAAATAATTACATAAGAAGCTTTCAATATCAGAACTCATTTCATCAATACGTCTTTCAACAGTATTGTTGCTTAAGGGAATTCTTTTAATGATATCAGATGCAGGTTTGTGTAGAACAGTTTTTAAAACCTCTTCAACGGCTGGCAAAATTAACTTCTCTCCGATAGTATGCGGTTTTCCGGATTTTGCTATAAGTAACGAGATATTGTAAGACGCCCGCAAACCATCATCATTTCTTTGTGACGTCGAAGCGAACATTCTGTCCAGTGTAGGTCTCTTCTGAAATTTATCTTTGAGTGTTTGAAAGCATTTCAAATCTTTCTCTGTTTTATCAGGGTGGCATCTTATCAGATGATCTTGCAGTTTAGATGGTCTCATAGCGTCATTGCCCAAAACTTTGTGGCATAAAAGGCACATAGGCGATTGTTTGTCCGGCAATGATGGAATAAAGCCAAATGTCAAATAATCAACACTGTACTGTCTACATTTCTTCTTAGATTCGGACATGGCATCAGTCATCTGTGGGCAAAATTAAATTATTTAAATAAGACAGAAAATCCAGCAGCTGTATATTAAAAATATTTTTTGATTTTTCCGAAAACATTCCATAATTCGAACATCTTCTTGCAACAATTAGCTCGAATTACGGAGATTGCACTGTAATTATATTACCGATTGCTAAAACTTTCAAAAAGAAACTATTGAGGAGTACTCGTGTAATTTTGCATATTTGAATATTTAACTACTAATAACTAAAGTCATGATTGGCGTAATTTATCTATCTTTGCTAACTACGAGTACAAAACTAAAATTTAATAAAAAATAATGTACTCACTATAATTTGTGTGATATACTATCTGTTTATATTTTTTAAAATATTTTCTTAGCACTTTCCTTCTCAAGATTCAGGAAACGAATAAACGTATTTGTCCCACATTCGTATTTATAGAGTGACGAATTGAACGAGTCAGAGCAAGGTAGCGAAGCTCTGAGACTGCGACTATCAGGTTTTTACAAGTTCAGAATGTATTGCGACCACAAAGCGAATACCAACATCCTACAACTTGCACAATTTTATAAACATATATAATAAATTTTTTACTTCATGGGCACTTTTATAAATAATGTATATGTTTTGATATTATAAGTTGCAGTAGCCTGGAATGAGATACTCTAACAGGATATCGACCACCTTATCAGCACGATGCCCAGGCGTGTCAATGAGTGTATAAGGAATCGTGAATCCTCAATACATTATTGTACCAGCTTCTGCAGTCGGTTGACGAATTAAACTGAAAATTTAATCATTTTACTAGTAAGGGTCGGATAAACATATGTAGGTGTTAACCTTTTTTTTGTCACTCTATCTACGTCTACTTAACGTGCAAACTACATGATAAAGATCCAGACATATCTGGTGTATTTAAAAATATTTTTGTGACTCAATTTTAAGCATGATGCACACATGATCCATCATCCATTAATTTTCGGACAGTGACAATACTTTTATTTTTTCTTTCTGTCGTTTATTTTCTATTCCTCTTTTGCTTATTGCCATTTTTTGTTACATTTCTTCTCTTCTTCATTCTGATTTCTTCTACTTTGCATGTTTTCTTATATATTGTCTATTTCACTCCCGTCTACCTGCTCCTGACAGTGTTTTTGTTTACTATCCATCTTATAGCATTGAAGCTACAAATAATTTTTCAGAAAACTCTATTGGGGAACTCCGCGCAGAGTTCTGTTACTTGATTATAACTTAAGATTTGTTCCAACAAAGAGTTCCGAACTAGTTCAGAACTAACTCCGAATTAACTTTCCGCGCATACCCGAAGTAACTACAGTTGAAAACCAGTTCCGAACTGTCCTGTTGGAACTGGGTAGCTGACTTGCTCTTTGGCCACAAGATATTCGACGTACTCGACGGGTTCTCCCCTTCATCCCACAATGTCAAACCGGGGGTTCTCTGGTGATCGATCTTGGCTCCGATAATGTTTCTCTTCCATTACAACGACCTCATGACCTATACGATCAATCCGATCCACAGATTTGCTGATGACAGCACTCTACGTGCAGGAGTGACAAACCGATCTCTGCCAGTGAGCTGTAGAAAAGAAGACGAGCAGCGACTTCCTCGACGTGAGACCTGGAGGTCAGCACTGCATGGGGAAGCAACAATCTGGTACAGCTCAATGCTTCCAAAAACCTTGACTAACAAGAAGGGCCCTAGCGCTCAACCGATTTCGATGGATGGCCAAGTTGTACCGAAGAGCCGTTCATTTCCTCTGGTTGGAGTCCTGATGACCGAGAATTTGAAACGAACCGTCAATACCGCGATGTGCCTGCCAGACACACCCGCATGACTCCTCCTGCCATCCTGACCGTGTCGAACATCGTGTATCTAGAACTGGCCGATATTACCTCTCTTTTATGGAACAATCTGCCTGATGAGCTTCAGCTACAATGACATCGATTCTCAATTTTGCTCCCGCTTAACGGCGTTGCAGGTCAAATTGTTAAAAGTGGTTTAGAAAAGGAGAGATATTTTATAAAAAGGTAACTATTTTTCAAGATATTATTTTATGAATTTCGTGCGATATCACTGTCACGCATATACAGTACAAAACATCCCTTTGAATCTAAAAGTGCAATGAGAATGAGATATCTTAAAACCTACAAAGGTCTCTTTAAACCACAAACGGATGAACGAAATTCAGAAAGGGTCCGTAGCAATCACAACGAATAGAAATACTCTTTAACATTAAAAAGCCCCTAGAAAGCATTCACAAAAAGATCTCCGACCGAACGGCTGGCAAAATCCGCTTTCGAGGAACATAAAAGTCACAATTCCAAATGGGATTTGTAAACTTTACGATATTATTCTCACTTATAGGACGCCTTATCAGGAATTTTTCATCGCCTCGCTTTTCGGGCCGGCTGAAAGGAGCGTTATTGGAAAAATTGAAACTGTGTAAGAAAAATGTTCGACTTATATCGCTGGGCTCAGATTTATTCTCCCGTTTTCAATGCAATTATACCTCCTTTATACGGTGAAGAATGGCGTTCGTATCGAAAAAATATTCGGATCTTTCTCCGTTTTATACGTGGAATGGTTTCTGCGGTACGTCGGTGAATCTGAACCTTTGCTGGAGAGCGGGATGGAGTCAAGTTGATTGACTTTTTGCCTGGCAGGCCTATTATAGTTAGGAGCCCTGTTTTATTCACTACTTATAGTAGGGGAAGGCCAAGAACCTAAATGGATAACTACTCGATCGTCGAAGGGGCCTATTGGATTTCAAACATTAGATTGCAGATTGCAGAAAAAATGAAAGGTTTTATCATGTATATATCCTTCTAGTGACAGGAGGATTGTGTAAATGATGTATTGTGTAAAGAAATAATTACATGGGAATACACAAGCGCGTCAGATATTAATATTGTACAGGGTGGATAATTATAACTGACTGATTTACATTGCGTGCCATTTTTGATACACGCATTTCAGTGGGTGGCGCCGTAGTAGTTGTTTAAGAAACATGTGTCCGTATTGTTAAAACGTTTCACTTAAATAATGAGTTGATTGTTGGAACGATTCGGAAGCTACGACAAGATTTCGGTCGAAATAATGTGACCAGTGTCAACACCATTCGTCAGTTGGTGAGAAAATTTGAACAGACAGGTGAAGTTAAAGACTTGTCAAGGACAGGACGTTAGAACTGTTCGTACTCCGGAAAATATCGAGAGAGCTCGTGAAAGTGTACTGTAGAACAGAAAGACTTGCATTTGTGGCCATACGAAATTCAGTTAACCAAAGAACTGGTGACCATGGAAGTCGCCAACAATACATCATATTGCAGCTTAATACCCAGAATAACGATTTTTACCGACAACTGATAATGAGCGATGAAGCCCACTTCGATATGAATGGATTTGTGAATAAACAGAATTGTTGTATGTGGGAACTAGTGAACCCTCGTGGCATCCATCAACGACCACTGCATCCTCGTCGCATCACAGTTTGGTACGGTGTTTGGTATGGAGGTGTTATTTGACCTTACTTCTTTGAAGACGCTGTAGGTAATTCTCTTGATATCACTGGCGAGCGCAACCGTGATATGGTGCAAAACTTTCTGGCTCCTCAAATCCAACAATTTTACGGAGCAACTTGTCCCACAGCTAGGACTTAATGAATCTTTTGCGAACAATATTTCCGGGACGCTTAATTTCGCGATTTGGTGATGTCAACTGGCCACCAAGGTCAGCGGTTTTAACGTCTCCTGAATTTTTTATGGGTATTTTTGAAAAATAGAGCTTATGCCAATAAACCAAATACTGTAGAGCAGCTGAAGAACAATATTACGGAAGTGATTAAAAATATTCCTCCCGAAACCCAGCAAAAAGTGATGAAAAATGTAATCAAGAGGGCTCAGGTTTGCGCGGCTTCTAGAGGCGGACTTTTGTCTGATATTATTTTTCATACATAATTTCTAAGTTTTAATAAAAGATTAAGATGAAAAAAGGACGTATTCTATTTTAACCAATTAAGATATCAGGTATAAATATTAAAAGATTTAAATACCTATGTGACGGCTAACAGGTTTGATTAGTTTAATTAAACTCCGAAGCAGTTTACTTGAATCCATGAAACTAGTTTAACTAAACCAAAACTCAATCGTTTGATCAAATTTGTTAAATCGTTTATTTAAATTGATCAAAGCAACTTATTTAAAATTACTGAAATGATTAAAATGAGTTTGGAATTTAATTATGTTGATCAAATTTGTTCGATTACTTTAGGTGAAAGTGTTTAACTAGATTTAATGAATTATTTTATTTACATTTAAAAGGATATTTGGATAATATTTGGAATTTAAAAGAGCAAATTGCATTTTGCCGAATGGTATATTATCACTGTGCTCTGACAAATCTTAGATATCAAAACATTTGGAAAACCTGATATTGATATTTGATGTTTTTGAATCCAAATAAAAACTTTTTATAGCCCCAAAAAAAATTATATTTTTATTTTCATTGATTGTGAACATATTATGTATGAGATCAAGTTTTACCAACTATTTGTTTCGTCTGCTTGTCCAGAAACAGTTTATAATATATCACCATTCACTAGATGCAACTAGTTGTTTTAAATTCAGAAAGTAGGGAAAGTGATACCAGAAACTGAATGAGGCCAGTTGATCTTGTGTATAAAAATAGTACATTTACATAGTAACTAAATTCGACATCATTTTAAACAAACTAGAATATTTTTACATACTACG